GATGGCGCCCGGGGGAATCCGAGGGAATACTGGGGAATCCGGGCAGAAGAATTTTTCATTAACGAATTATATTTACGGAGCCCATTTTTAAAGATCTACCTTTTATCAATAAATTATGAATGACATAATCCGCTAAAAAAAAACAATCAATTTAGGGTCTAAAATATGTGAAAAAGGGGGTGGCGGGGGAGAACGGGTTGAAATCCCCGCCCTGAGCCCCGTCCTGATTCCCTGTCCAATCCGGGGAAAGATCGCCAGTTTGGACGGGGCTCAGGACGGGGATTTCAACCCGTCCCCCCGCCGCCTAAAATGTTTTCGCGGCGGGATGCCCCATTGTTCTCATTTTTAGACCCCCAGTAGATTGTTTTGTTAGAGGATAATGTGATTAATAATTTATTGTTAAAAAAAAGTAGATTCTGAAAAATGGGCTCTGTAGATATAGTTCGTTAATCAAAATTTTTCATCCCTGAATTCCTCCGGATTACCCCGTCTAGAGCACGGAGCAATCCGGGGATTGTGCTGGCAGGGTGTGATCGCTGGGACAATAATTTTATTCGCCTGACGTTTCGAAATCCTTCGCGGATCCTCCATAAAAGACGATAGCAGAAATGGGTAATTCATACACAGGGACTGCACTATTTATAAGATACGGTCAATATTCCACTGCACACTTATGACATCTAAGGACTCCCGTATCGAGGATATTTGCCTGCTTGTGCGCTAATTGGTTGATGGCCAGCGTGCGGCCGTGATCTGCGGAACGTTCATCTCACGTGATGGAATTGGACGTCATGATTGCTCGGTCAGCTGGTTCCCCTGGCGCTGGCATAAGACGACGCGTTGGCCTGTGCGTTCCCCAAGTGGCGAATTGCTTCAGCCCAATTGAACCTCAGCACCAAATATGCATTGGGCAGGTCGCTGCCCCAGTCTATAAACAGGTGCACCGACCTACCCAATCCATATTCAGTACTGGGGCTCGGTTTGGCCAAATCGATTCACCACTCGGTGAACGCACATACCAACGCCTCTGTTAAGACCTAAACGTACCGTTCGACCCAAAATTACTACAAGCCGTATAACGAGAATGCTGTCTACCGACTAAAATTTTGGGAATGCCAATTTAAGTTGTTTTATTTTTGTGGATCTAATTGATGCAACCATTGGTTAGAGCAGTTGACTGGAATCATCCAGCAGCGCGTAGGTGAAACCCTTAAAGCATAGGACCACTTTATAGCATCGCTGCCAAGAGGGAATCATGCATGCATGTCCAAAGAAACCGGACATGTCGGGGACACTTTTTCATCTGGCAGTTGGAGAAATTCACATCACTATCAAGGAAGGCTGGGTAGGCGATTTGAGAGAAAAAGTTAAAAAAAAAACAGAAGAATTATTAGAATTATAACGCAACTAGGGTTGGATTGTAAGGAATTTTAGTACATTCCAAGTTTAAATGCAGATAAGTGTTTATAGTTGCGGGAATTCTCATCGAATAATTCAAAGGTGATTTGGCGAGCAATCAGATTATGGAAACTGTTCCTGTGCGCACAAAACAACTTCTTAAAGGTGCCGCAGTTGCTATGACCAAAAGCCGCATTCAACCGACCGCAGCTAATTACCTTTCCCGACGGTCAGTACCCCCTGACGCTTATCAGCTTTTGGACTGTAATTTTTCTCCCTCCCGTACACTGACAACCGGACGACTTATTTCTACTAATCTTTTTATTTGACTATGTTACATGGTGATAAAATGTAAAGGACCAACGGTAAGTTATCGAAAGCAAATGTAGACTGGCCAACTTATCCTTTGGATCGAAATGTTACACTTAGGAAATCGTAATTTGCATATAGGGTATTTAGGGAAGAACGGTAAATGCGTGAGGTAAGCTTAATGCAGAACATAATTAAAAATATGCGACAATTTAAGGTAGTTCATGAGAAATAAGAGTTTAGTAAGTCAGAAAATGCGTTCGTTGTATAGGCCACGCAAATGGGACCACTTTTATCGTTCAGGGGTAAGGCACTGTTGATTATTTACACAGCCTCGAAAAGTTGTATGCATAGGCTAGCAACAGAGCGTCAGACCTAAAATGAGGCGTTCAGCATGGTTAAAACGTCTTACAACACGTTTTCGGAACGTATATATTCCTTTTTTCATACAAATTTCCTTTAGCATTTTCTAACAGTGATTACTCCTGCGCTTTTGGATTTGTTTACAGAGATTTTCTTTATCAGCCCGAAACTCAAAAAAGGGTCAAAGCTTTAAAGAAAAAGCAGTGTTGGACAAAATAAGAAAATGGGTTCAAATCTAGGTTTCACTCTTTTTGAACTGAAAGGCGTACGAAAGATGCCACCTGTTTCAGTTCCCCCGAAGGGAACCAAAACTAGTCTAGCATATAGTTTAATCCTGCTTTTATGAAGAGTTTCATAAGGGTAAATTGTGTGCTTTTTCGGATATATTTATTTTTGTGTCCGCTATAACCGGACTTGTGATACTCAGTTCTCCCATGACCAGACGAAAAGAAGGCAATGCTAATATCAAACAATTAAGCGTCATATAGGAAACAATTTTTCAGACAAGTTAGATAGATGTTTAGACGAAATTTGTTTTCCCCATACTCTTTAATCCCACTCATCGCTCAGCAACTACGGCAAGATACGTGGAAGTTGACAGTTGGCTGATATCCTCACATGTTTACATGGAATAATTTATGCGTCGCTAAAGGACCCAACTGTTTTTGACGCCCGATTGAAGGTCGGCCGCTTAGCTTAATGACAATTTCGGTCGTTGCGACCACACAATTACTCATCTGTTCTGCAGGCAACCTGCTCATGTGTCCTCCCTCAACCCTGTGACTCAACCGGGTGTACGCCCGAACGGCAACGCCCAACGCGACATTCAGCTAGACGCAGTCGGCTGTGCTTAACAGTCGAGCGCCTGTGCGCGCTGTCGTCAAAGTCTACGCAGGAGTACGGCTATCGTCGCCGTTTGCGTAACTGAGCAGGGCTTTATTAGTGAAGCGTTGGACGCCCCTCCATCAGGTGGGTGAGTCTTCTTAGGACACTCAGGCACGAGCAATCTTCCCGTAAGCTCTTGCAACGTTGGGAGCACAGGACACGCAGAAGTATGGAAAAGGCCAATTTTTTTCAAGCAGGTCCTGAACGCGAAACGCTTTAAGGGGGCGCATCGCACTTGTCTTACAAGTTGAGAGCAGGATGAGCGACGGGGGAGGACGCTAAAGGTAGTTTGGCAGAAGAATCGGTGCAGTGCCTACAGTCTCGTCTTTTGGCGTTTTTTTTTACGACCTGTTTGCGGCCGACACAGTAAGGCGTATAAGGTTAAGATTTTAGGGGCGTTGCCGCCTAGAATGCATTTGAAATTCATCTTAATAAGAAGTTATGCAAGGCTAGATAGCAGTATGATTAATCAAATTATTATCTTTAAGCACTTAAATCTGAGTACTGCTAGACTTTTGCAGCAACAAATATTGTTTGAGTACCTTCATTTAAAAATGCCAACGAAATGATCTGGAAAGTATTTACGCGAGTATAGGTAGACAGATGAAATCTGGAATCACGCAATCGTGACTGTTGTAATCTCTGGTGTACAAACAATACAACAAAAATTGAAATATTGTTTTATCGGAAGGAAATGTGAACAAAGCAAATATCACGAGGTTAGCAGAATTTATTGACGTCATAAAATTTCGTGACCTCTTATTCAACTGCAGACGATCGTTGCCTATTAATAAGAGGATTAAGTGTCTGTCTAGAGGGGTGAAACTGATATTTGAAGGGAGGGCGGAACATAAAGTACCTAAGAGTTCAATCACGAAGCACCTAGTGGACACTGGCCATACAGTCGAGCAAAAGACTACATTTAAGGTCGTACTTCGGGCGATGACCGAGCGTCTCCTACGATTTGCGGAGGCCGCTGCAGTACGGAGAAACAAACCAGTACTCTGTAAGCAGCTGGACCATGTGATCAACCTCGCATTGCCGTGGTAACGTTCGAT